TTAGTGTGCATGTGTTGCAGTTAGTTTTGGAGTATATCCTGTGCACTGCTCTGAAAAAAGTTAAGTAAACATTTTGGAAACAGTTGATCGTCACAGTATAACTAAAAGTCAGTTAAACGTTTAATCGAGTTGGTCTAGTTGTTAAGGATAAACTGCTTGAATCTATTTTATCTGCTTAGGTGCAAATTAATCTGACGACATATGAGAGGCAACAGGAAGGCAACCCTCAAAAAGTCAACAGTTATTTGAGTTTGGACCACAGACCATTACTTTCTCCTTATCCCTCCTGACTTTTTCCTAGTGTCCTTGTCACTACTGATAGCATGAGTTGGCACATGGGGCCCAATCAACTTGCACAGGTTGAATAGCTCCCCTGGGATGGCGCATTCATTCATGCCGTGACGAGAATGTCTCCCAGCACAGTCTGGGCAGTTTGATACCAACAAATGGGCCAGTGCATGAGCAGAATAGTCAGGGTGGTAGGTGAACATCAACCCAGCAGCAGGACCAGTATCTGCTCCTTTGTGCAAGGAGGAATAAGAGGAGCACTGTTAGGGCCCTACACCTCTGACCTGACCTGTGTCAGGCTAGTCAGTTGTTGACCAAACAATCAGAAACATGTGACGATTAAGTGTTTATTTACATTTTTTGTGATATAGTTGAAATTTCCCAGAAAGCCAATAAACAGTTGCCGTGTTAACATTTTCCAGCTTCTGTCCTAAGTATTAAGAATGAACTTAGAATGATTTAAAAAAAGGAAAGTTGGTATTTCAGCTTGATTTTATCCCATCTCATTATGCAGTTCTCATGATCAGCCCACAGATGGCACTCTTCGCCACACCTGAGCTCTGACCCACACCACTGATCTGTGCTCACATCAGGATCCTCAGGTTTCTTTTCAGTCCCAGAGAGTTACTTCATCCCCTCACCATGTGATTCAGTGCTCGAGCAATGTGCTCTGCAAGGATGCACCGGATCCTTCCAGAAGCGCTCTGGCCATAGTTTATCACTGACTGCATTAAGAGCATTTAGTGGCACAATTGTGATGGATTCTGAGAGCGGCTGATTTATCGATCACTCTCCTCAGCTAAGCTGCGAATACTCAAATAGTTACCAATCACCTCCAGAAGTCACCTTCCCACAAAGCCTTTCTCTTCCAGCCTTGTAAATGGCTTCTGTTCTGTGCCACAGGTGACTTTGAGACAAGAACTAACTGAATTTTTCAAGGCAGGATTACACAACAAACGAATCAGCGAGGTGCTCTTGCGTTGAACGCGGCCATTTGCGGCCATCGAGGACTTTGTCCATCCATCACCGAGGAAGAGGAGGGTCGAGCTGAACAGCAGTGGTGTTTGAGACGAAGAGGGGGGAGAAGCAGAGGGCGCCTGACAGATGGGCTTAGTGAGTGAATCATTGACAAGGGCCTGCTATAGGATGCTGGCTCCATCAATAGCTCAAAGCCTGCGTGATGAATTACTGCAGACAAACAATGCTGAGCAAGCAAATGTGTGTGTGTGTTTTTTTTAAACAAAGCCAGGTGGAAATATTAGAGCTTCTTTTCAGAGCATTACACCTCGAAATATTAGCTACGTTCATGTAAACATGATTTCTTGATAAGCCAGAACATTGCCAAGAAATGGAATATTATAGTGAATATAGTCTTTATTTTCCTTTCTTTACTCTTACTTTCACTCATATGTTAACTGTTACCATCTTGTTACATTTTAAGGCAAGATGACAGATTAATCTTGAAGATATGATATATAGTCATAATGCAAGTTTTCCCAAATGCTGTAAAAGCGCTAAACATATACTTACTTATGTACACATAACTGTGAGGTTAGAGTTTATGATTGTTTTATTTACTGTAAAATGCACAATGATAATTAAAGTCTGTCAGATTGTAATTAAAATCAAACCAGTGGCACATTTGCAGCAGAAGTCATTCTTGACTCTCTATAATTAGCCCTGTAAATTTCACTGTTTGTTTCTCGCACCTACTGCGTGAGTTTGTTTGGTTGCTTTTATTTAGTATTTCTGACAAAGTAGATTTTTGTGGAGCGTTTCTAGTGCTGTAGTATTGAAGGATACATACAGCTACCACCATGTTATAAACACTTTGGAGATGGTTAAATACTTTATTTTCAAATATCCAACAGCTCATTACAAAAAATTAAAAATAAAATAATTAAATAACACTGAAAATAGCGTTAAAATAAAATCAAGGGTAAAAAAGGCACTATCCATCCACAGAACTGGACTAAAACCCTAAAGATCCTTATTTTAAGAAAAGAAATATGAGAGAAAAAAGCATCAAAAGTCAAACTTCTCTCTTGTTTCTACTTTTCTGTGACTTTTAATGAGTAGCCCAGAAAATGTTAACACCTCCCTCCCCAGACTAATCTTCTCCCACCCTCTGTGTGTCTCCTCCTCCCCTATACTGCAGACAGAACTCCACCAGGTGCTGCTGAAAACAATGGCTGGCCCATGCAGGGATCAATGCCAGGCCACTGATGGGCTCTCATTCCTTCACCAGCGGACGTGATAAATGACATGGCCCATATGTTTCAGTAGCCTAGACTCCAGCCATCAGCCTCCTTTGTCTCCACATCTAAAGGGAGTTACGCAGTGAAAAATGTAATTAGTGCACACGTGTGCAAACAGAGCAACTTGCACGTATTAGTTTAAGGAAAATGCTGAATTTAATTGTCCTGGATTCATTTTACTGAGAAATGTTCATCAATTGAAGGCAAATGTATATAATGTATATAAATAGAGTTGAGAAAGCAGAGTATGTGATCCTTTTATTGAAAATAAATTGTGTATGCTCCCTCCTCCTCCTCCTTCTCCACACTCTTCTCCTTGGCAGCAGTAAATCCTGATGTCTATACAGGTAGCAGCGCTCTGGCCCCTGCCGGCCGTGTCCCAGGTGTCTTGTCAGCTGTCAGAGACGTCCGACAGCAGACAGGGATGGCATGACCAGCGGGCCGGGCCGTGTTGGACGGGTCAGCCGTCAGCGTTGTGGACAGACAGGCATGTGGCAGTGATCTCCCTGTGACAGGCTGTCAGAGCCGCCGGAGAGCCACCAACCAGCACTCGCCCCCTGTCATCCCACCTGACTACAGACAGAAGGAAAGCTCTGAATTCTCAACTTGGCACCCGGACTCCACCGCTTCCTCCCCCCCCGCTGCTGTACAGTACAGCCACTGTGGCTTCTAAATTCAGTGGGTTTTTTGAGGCAGATCAGCGAAATGCACCGGTGTGGTCGAGCCCTCGGTAAGACTGTCACTCTGTGTTAGATAGTCTAATTGAATGTGCTTTACCTGATTCACCTCTTGAAAACGTAGACCTGCAGAGCACACGTCCTGAAGCAGGACTCATCTGCTCCTAAAACAGGAGCAGATCTAAGGCTGTCAGATGAAATAATTATCATTGTATAACAAGCAGCATCTCTATTGTGATCCTTTAGACCTATGAGCTTGCATTCTCCATTATGCATGGTTACTCCTAAACCCCTCAACGCTAGAGGTGACGTCATAGCTAAATGATTAACCTCAGCGTACCTGGTCTTTTACTGCATGCCGCTCCCTGTTCTTTCCTCATGTTTCCTGACAGTCTGTCTATTCTGCTGCATACTTTGCAAAAAAAAACCACACACGCAAAACAATCGTTAAAAAAAAAGACTCCTCATCCTCTGTGCGCCTGTCTGGCAGGTGACATTTGGAGCGGTTCAGGAGATGTATATGCCATTTGTATCCTTGGCAGGGTCAGACCATGTAACATGACCTGCAGGACAGAGAGCTGGAGAAAAAGATACTAATCTTGCACAGAGATCAATACGGCCCAGAGAGGACCTGATAATTGACCGCTGTCAATCAATCACGCTATGTTTGTGAAGCCTTTTAATGTGTCTGTTTTTCTTCTTTTGTTTTTTAAATCAGGGTGCCGGCTGGCTGCAGGAAAGCTGAAAATAGGCTTTTTACTAAGAATAACACTTCAATATAAAATGATTATATTATAAGTAGGAGTTCTGGTGAGCAGTATCAGCAGTAAATCCCTAATATAATAATTTCGATTATAATACTTTTGAGTGTTATTCTATTATTTTAGTATTACTGATGGATTAATATAAAAACCACTTTAGTTATAATAGCTTTTGGATAGATTTAGCAGACTAAAACCACAACATGACTGAAATAAAGTGGAGTAGAAAATAAAAAATCTCCGCAAGAGATAATAAAACCAATCAAATGTGATTTGAAACAGCAGTTTGGTCCTAATCAATAAAAAATGACTAAAATATGTTGTGAAGTAGCTGTGATGCTATATTGTTAGTATAGACATATAGAAAACATCATCATTTCAATACATTTGATGAACAGTTTCCCACTGTTGAGCTTTGGTGACATTAAGTAGTCTCAGCTGGAGGTTTCATCTCTGTCACAGGAAAGATGGCGTGTACGGACGTTGCTATCTTGAAGATGTCTGGAAACATGTCTGTGACAAAGAGGGCTGAAACGCCGGTCCATTCAAGCTGGGAACATGTGCCATAGTTTCCTCAGGTACCACAAACGCATGCATGTGAGGATATGCAAAGGTATACCTGCACAAATAAGAATGCAGACACTAGTTCATGCACACAGACCCACTCGTGCACACGCACTGCTCCAGAGGCGTAGACTACAAATGCATGTGATGCTCAGAGAGGACGTGACATCAGAATATGCAAAAAAGACTTTGCCGCAGGCCAGAGATTTTTAATGATGAATCCATTCATTATAGAATAAGGTCATTATGCTTTTGTTGTCATGAAACGTACACATTCATCATCAGTCCACCCAGGACCGAGTCCATTGTCCCTCTTCTCCAGACGACCTTGGATGGAAAATTTATAAAGCAGAAAAAATAAGCAACACGCACAAATACAAACAGAGACGCGCGCAAACACGGATACGAGTGCACACACAAGCATCCGCAAGGACAACAAACACACACACACACCGTGAAATATTTTTCTAATCCACATTCATTTCATCAAACCGTTTATTAGGCATGAGGGGAAATGCAGAAAAATGCTGTCTTTTTGTGCGTGCTGTTGTTGAGCCGTTTCGTACCCTAACCAGGGACTAAACCGGATATATGAGCCTGTAATGAAACATTTTATGCTAATTGTATTTGTTTATGAGCAAATTAATGGCAGCCGTGCAAAACGGATGATGATGTGAGCACATACACAACATGATAGGATTCCTGAGGAATTCATTAGCTGTTTGCAGGTAATTAGAGGAAATAATTAAGGTGATTAGAGTGCGTCACACACACACACACACGCATGCACTCATATGCACACGGGTACAGTATACAGTACATCAAAAGATCTCCCCAACCCCCCTTTTTGGTTTTCTGCAACTCTTGTTGAAAGTGCTGACAGTGCTTTCCAGAATAACCCAATCACTGAATACAGAGAGATTTTAATCCCTCTTTCTCCCCTCATCTTCTCTGTCCTCGTAGGTCTACTGCTTGCAAGGTTCCCCTCCAGTCACAAATCCCTCATACAGAAGCCGGTCACAATGTGACACATGCAGAGGTGGCATATTAGTGCACCAAAGACACAATCAAGTGGAGAGCTCTGGCACAAAATGCAGAAGTGATAAATCAACAAGCTGGAGCTCCACGATATAGACAGCACAGCATCACATACAATGGCCTGCTGTCTGTCGGAATAGCAGAGTTGTAATATATGCACACGCAGAGAGACAGACACACACATATATAGGAAAATAAATGCAGCGCTCAGTCATGCACATCCTGAGAAAATCAAATGTTCATGTGTGTAGCAGGAGCTGTAACATGGAGGGTAAAACCCACTGATTATCCGAGTGTAATAAGCAAGCAGCCTCTTCTCCGGTGTAATTGGTCTGCAGTGGATCTGCAGCCGAAGCTCGTTAGTGTCACAGCAGAAATAATCACGCAGTAAAAACCCCTCCTGTGACTGATCACCATATATCATACAGATACACACTTACAGATGCATGAATGATTCACACGCGCGCAAGCTCTTGATAGGTGGAGCTTTAGTGTTACAATGCAGATTTGTGCATTAATGCAAAATCTAGAGAGGGAGCTTAATGGGTTGTCATGTGAATTGGAAGCGCTTTGATTTATTCGGATAAATATTTTGTACAAAACTGTTTGAAACGTTGCCTTTGCTTCGATCATCTCCAGCCTAAACACAGTGGAAGTATCTGCAAAAATACAATTGCATCTTTTCCCCCCACGGAATATGAAAACCTCTCGGTGCCTATTCTGACACTGTCAAATAGCTCGTGTCATTCAAATATTTCATGTTCAAGAATATGAGATTTTTGTTGATGTATGACTTCATGCCTCCACGTTTTCCAGCGAAACAAAGATTTATTTATTTCACTTTTATTTTTCTTTCTTTCTTTACAGCGTTTATTTCTTCAAGAGCAAAGTGATACCTTTTGGGGGAAATATTGCAGTGGATGCTTGACTTGGAGGACAGTTATCCCTAATAAACTGACTGATATATTAATTTACTTTCCTTTCTAAATACTCCAGAAACACCTTTGCATGTTGCTCCAGATGTAAAGCCATTAAGTAAAAACCTGCTTTGATTCTTGAAAATATTGTAGAAAATCTAATCGAAGCGGCTGATGTGCCTCCGAGAGAAAGAGTTCTGCACGACTGCTTCTATGAGGAGAAATACTGAGTGGATGGCATTGGAGCTATTACAGTTAAAAGAGTGTAGAGCCTTTCATTGTTTAAGATGAAGGTAAAAGGCAATGCGAGTGTGTGTGTGTGTGTGGGCGGTGACTGATGGTCCTGATTCAGAATGGGGACCTTACACAGCGTCTGAAACAGAATCAAACTCCAACACCCAGGTATACGCCACCTGCACCAGAAGTCATTTAAATGTCCTCCTGGGCCATCGTAACATCAGGAAAATTCAATCACCCTGTCTGCTGTTGGAGGGGGGACAACGTTCTCTGAGATTACTTGCAAAGAAACTTAATAGCTAAGAGCATTAAACGCTGGTTGTTGCTAGTACCGCTGCCAATAGTGAATAAATGATTTTGGCAGTGTATACAGACAGGGAAATCAATACCAGAGGGTTTTCTGTGGTGTTGGGCTTCTGTATTCATGTAAACATGGGAAGTGGTTTTCTTCACACCTCAGAGCGAGATTACCTCTCACCACTGGAGGCCTGCCCGGGTGCAGAGGAAGATGCAGCTCTCAGCTTGAATCTGCCACCGGCACGAAGATGATATTTGAACATCACCCATTCTAATACGACATATGCAAATATCAGGCAGGTTTTTTTTGTTTTTTTCTTTTGGTTGCCCACGCTAGATGTCAATGTGGGGGAAAATATCTGCTTTGATGAGCGAGTGTTCAGGCAGAATAACTGTTGCACATTTAGTGGCAGCTGCCCAGAGGGCCTGAAATTGTGTGATCACTGATAAGCTGAAGCCATATTTCATGAAGTGTTGAGGTAGTCTAAGCTGCTAGTCCTTTTTTTTTTTGCTCTTTTGCTGCCCCGTCCCCTGTTGCGACCCCTCTGTCCGTATCTCCGTCCAGACTTCGGTTAGGGGGCAAATGGAGGGACGGAGACAAGAGGCTGAGAGGAGGAGGTGTCGTGAGGGGGCTACTGCTCAGCCATAGTGACCGGGTGAAAAGGCAGTGCAGATGTAATTTGTCCTCAATGGCTGTTTGGGAAGAGTAATTGTGGTGACATTGGCGGGTCGATAGTATGGATTTTTTGTTTGGAGTGCCCTGTGTGTGTGGTGCTAAGGGGAGGCCAGGAAATATAACACTGCTGCTCAAATACAATAAAAATGGATCGAGGGTGTGGTGGTTGTTTGCAGAGCTGGTAGCCATCGTTTGGCTGTGGATGTCATACTGTAGCCGTTGTGGTTATCAAATACTCCCTGCCGTTCTGCCCTATTAACGCCAAACGTTCGAGGCTTCAAACAGGTCTTTCGAACAGGTTTAAACGCTGGAACAAACCCTCCGTTTAAGAGGTGTTTCACTCGAGCAAATATTTCTCTAAATATGCTGCACAAAGGAGTAGCTGTGTTCTCAAATCGCATTTGTTAGGGCCCCTTTTTAATGCACTTCCGAGAAAATCGTGACACAAGACTAATGACACGTAGCGCTCAAATAGTGTTTGGTCCTGAATGCTACAGTGTGTTGCAAATTTACAGGGAAATATAGGGCATTTGGCTGACCCCAGTTCCAGTCATTGTACAGTAACAGTGAGGGGTGAGAAGGAAGCCTCAGGGGAGCCCAGTGGATGCTAGCTCTGGTGTCCCAGTCAGATATAACATGGTCAGGCAACGGTGTGTGAGCACAGGCTGTTTTGAGCTAAAAATCTAATGAGAGAGAACAAACGAGGTTACGACTTATACTGACTGTGTAGGATCAGAGGCATCCTCTAAACACATGCATCCCAACTTCTGCATTTTATCCTTTGTAGCTTCACATGTGATCTGACTGATGTATTGCAAATGATTCGCCGGGCCTCTTTGTTGCCTCCTCAGTGCCCTTCGCTTGTCTTGAGGTGTCAAAAACACACACTCCCTCGTACAGATACACTATTTCATCCTGAGATCTGCTCTCCACTACGCTGATAATGAACAGTGTGTCGTGTCTTAATAGGATGCTTCCTGTCGAGCCAGGGCCACCTCGTAGAACACAGCCAGGCCGGCCTTGTCTCTGTCACCCCTGTCATCTCACATCACATCCTGTTTGACTCCAAAGCGGTGCTCTTTGGGTAAAACCATTAACGGAGCCGACCGACACAAACAGGACCACATTTTGACACTCGGCCGCCACCCTGACGTAACCGAGCACGACACCTGACGTGGGGAAAAGGTCACACGACTCGTCAAAGAGACAGGGGTGCCTCAGATGGAGGACGCGAGGACTCAAAAATGGACGCCTCCCGACAGTGATGATGGACACATGGCTGAAGCATGGCCTTCTGGGAGCGGTGGGAGGAGTGGATGTCCTGCCGGGAACTGTCCCTTCCGGTTCCTCCGGTCCGCTGACGAGTTGTGTCCTCGCTGATTTTGCATGATGAGACTCACACTAAGTAAGCAATCAAATGTGGTTAAGTGTGGACAGTTTCACAAGTAATCAGGCAGAATGTGCTTTATCTCAAATGTTAGGTGACATATCAGTCAAAAGAATGAATAAAGTAGACACTGTTGCAGCTTCTGCAGAATATATGGCATTTCATATCAGCAGCACTTTTGCTACTTGGATTATTTAGGCTGCTTTTTATTCTGACAGGGCAGCGGAGACAGACAGGAAATGTGAATGACAGGCAGCAATCGTACAGTCAATTGTAAGTTGGACTGCAAGGGGCATTTTTGCCCTGGCATAGTAGGTCATCCCTTTTAGTTGGTTAAATGTAGCCAAGCTAAGATTGATTATACAAGAAATTTTCTTTCTTGCTGATTAAAATGCGGCACGTCTTAAGTGGTCTACTGAGGCAGTGAAAGCTTATGTCTGGGTTGTAGCAGGAGACTAACCCTTTGACCCCTCAACTTTAAAGTTAGGCGAGCATGACATCAACATTTATGTTTGCTCTCTGCACAAGTTTGAAGTCAGTGGAAATCACAGATGCACACGAGAAAGTCGCTATAAATGGTGCAGCCAGCATAAAATGTAAATAAATAACAGCCGTGCTTAAAATGGTCAAGGTGAGAGTTTTAAAAGGGAGATTAGCCAACTGGAAATCAGGTTTGTATTCAGTGGAACTTTATTATTGTATCCAATATGAAAGATGACACTTGTAACTGTAGCTTTATAAGTTGTCTATACACAAAGGGAACCCGTATGTCTATTTGTTGTCTCACTGGGAGTTGTGCAGCCACTAAGCTACAGTAAACTGTTCAGCTACCTTTAAGTTTCTTAAATTATTATATCATAATACCAAACATTAAGTCAATACATCGTGTTTATTTTTACCTTGCGGTTTTCCTATTTAAAGTTTACATTGGTTATTATGCTAATGTCTTAGTAGAGGCAAAGGCGACTTCTCCAAACTTCTCCGACAAAATCAAATACAGGTCATTCCAAAATCTCAAACAATTTCTTTACAATGTAATATTATCTTAGTACGCATGGCAGTTCTAATAAATCATTCAGCCTCGTCCAGTAAGATGGGAGGGGAGACTTTATGTAGCAGATTTAAACATTAAGTCACACATGTAATAGTAGCTTCAGTAATACACAAAGCAATAGAAACAGAATGCCAGGGGCAGATACACAAAAAAGAGATTGGCTTTAGAGAGCTATTGAGGCAGGGAGAGAAGGAGGAAGAGGGTGAAAGAGAGATAGAGAGTCCCTGGGGCCCCATTAGAGGCAGTTCTGAGGGCCGGTGACATCTGACTGGATCAGTGTTCTTCAGTCAGAGCCTCGCCTCTTATCCACTCCTCTACCGGAGTCAATAAACACATCACCTACGCACAAACACATCCACACACAGTAACTGAGCCTCCAGGGTGAGAACAGCATTAGTTCATTTAGAGAGGGTTTGATTCTTTCTCCTTGAAGGTACACAGCTTACTAAAGGCTTAATGAGAATGTCAGTGCTGTTGCATATATGTGCTGCACTTGGAATTGGACAGTGTCACTTTAGAAATTTCTTGCCCGTTAGTGCAAATGCGTTTGTGTGCAGCGCAGGGTACGAATATTTGTGGGAATTTAAAACTTTCACGCGTGTGATGAAGAGGTGGTTAGCAAAGACACATGGCTAGCTTGACAGAAAAACCAACTGACGAGCCGTAAACACTTCTTTCCCCGCACTGACAGTGCGGTGGCACCAAGCAGGGTGAAACTTTGAAAGTCAAGCGGTCCTTTATCCATCCCTGCTCTGACCTTTCTGCTAGGCTGCCCTGTATTCACTGGCTGTCAGTGTGAGTTTGTCAGGAGCCATCCGTCTCTGTCCACCTCCACCCCCCTCCCCAAATCCCTACCGACCCATTAGCCGATAGGATCCGGGGGAACAGCGGCGCGGCCAGCCTATGGGGGCCTCTCCTTCTTCCCTCCCTACTCCCCCTCAGCCCTGGTATCCACGTAGCACACAGCTCGTTCAGGTACCCCTGAGAGGAAGAGCTAGCTGGCTATATATATAAATACAGTATGTAGCAAAAACATCAACACAGCACTACTGTCTGACATGTGGCCCATGGGAGCTGCAGAGAGCCTGATAGCTGCTGGGACAGAGGGAAGGCTGGTGGCATCACTGCAGGGGTTGGGTAATGCTGCTGCGCCACACTGATGTGTAGTGTCTCAGCTATAACAGTGTACATGCTTATGGACCAGGAACCAGTTGCACCAGCTGACTGTAAGTTTAAACCTAGCCCAGCTTTATAATGCACTCACAAAAAGAATACACTCCACTAAAATAAAAACCAGTCGAACAACACAACTTTACCAGCTTGTTATCTTAAAACATCAACTTTATTATATTGATGTAAATTAATATGTAACAAGCTTACATGATCTGTAGGCATTTTAAAAGTTTTATTCAAGCACCATTCTGGCCGGCTGAAAAAGAACCAAGCGGAGGTGGCAAAAACTGCAGTTCCGCGAATGGCCACTTGAGGCGGGCTCTGAAAGCGCTGCCTAGATATGCAAAACCACAGAGCAGAACTTTTTGTGTGGTTGTGTATATGTTTTCACTGCTACAGTCTTTGCTGTCCTCTTAACCAAGTCACTCTTAAAACAGAGATTTTGAATCCTATGTAATTTCCACCTTCATAACAGCGGTAACTCAGCAGTTTAAATTCTGTTTAAGGCGTAATCAGCAGTGTTGGTCAAGTTGCTTGGAAAAAGTAATCAGTAACTAATTACTGATTACTTTCCCCAAAAAGTAATCCCGTTACTTTACTGATGACTTATTTTCAAAAGTAATTAATTACTTAGTTACTTAGTTACTTTAAAAACACGATTTACAACCTGAATAGGTAATAAAG